AATATCGCAACTATGTCGCTCCTTGATGACGGAAACGTTCAGCACCTCTCTTGCTTATGCGTTCCATAGATCTTGATTGATTAGTCAGGCAAGCTTTTTGAAAAGCTATTACTTGTAGTATTTAAATTTCATTTTGTGTGATAACTGTATATAATACAGATTCAAAGTACAGTGTCACGCACTCATAAACATGCGATATATATGCTAGCTATAGAAACTCTGCCTCTCAAAGCTCAGAAGACAGTTTTTAAATTAATGTTTCGAAGTATTTTTGCAAAAGCGGTCCAAGGTCAAGTGGACTGTCACGCTTGTATTCATAATAATATCTAATGACAAACGGTACACATGCTAAATAGCACAGACTTACCTCTTAAATGTAAAATATTAAGCAGTATATTGACTATTTTGAAAAGTAGGTCAAATGTCAAGTTCAAAGGTCAAGAAGTCGATATATCTGTAGGCCACACAACAAAAAGGGGGGGGGTATGTTACTTTAGCATACTGGCAATGACTGGCACCCAAATAAAATATTAGTGCACCAAAAATATACACTGTAATAACATATGCAGAGCTATGAAAATTCCTGACATTTTTATGTCAAACTTAATATGGAATTTACATGTAGGTTCCCAAATAGTTCGTGCATCTAGCTCTAACTCCCGAATGAAGGAATTCGTTTGTTTAGTATTTTGGGCGGATCTAGTAAATCACCATTGACGTAGCAAACAACCTAGCTGACGTCAGGGTTGGTAACTTCTCCAAACTGGAAACTCCAGTCCCAATTAGGGCCTAAACAGAGTAGGAAAACATCAGTAATACAATTTAAGCCATTTAGTTAAGTGCCAGTGCTTCAGAGAGGAGAATTTAAATATCAAACAATACCATTCCAATAATTATACGTAGGTAAGTTGTGTTCATATTCATGACGTACAACCGTTATAATCGGCAAAGCAGCATAACTGCATGTCAGTGTAAACAAAACATGGCGGATACCGATCTCGATTACGTGTAATCCATGGCCGTAGGAACCGGGGGGCCGTGCCGGCCCCCCAATAATTTTCCGATATATTGATTACTATAGTAAACATAGATACTATATGCTTGTGCCCCCTCAATAAAAACCTCTGATGACCTTCTTTTTTTTTTTTTTTTTTTTTTTTTTTTTTTTTTTTTTGCTTGTCAGGAAATTTTTGGTAATGCTCCCTCAACTGTCAACTGAAAAATGTTTTGGCTGTGCCCCCCCCCCCCCTAAACTAAAATTGCTACCTACGGGCCTGTAATCCAAGTACACCATGTACACATCGTACACAAAATTTGAAGCATAAATTCACAACGGAAGTTAAATATTTTGGAAAAATATCGTAATCTCCATGATAAGGCAGTTTTTAAATTAATGAGGTAAACAATGACAGCTAGGCCAAAGCTGTCACACCAAGCTTTTTAAATATTTATGACAATTGTCCTCAAACAGTTTACTAAAGGTCACGGTAGCCTAGTGGTAGGGCATTCGCTTCGTGATCGGGAGGCTCAGTCGATTCTCGTTCGCAGCACCGCATCGAACCTCAAGCTCCAGACAGCTCAGTATTACGTTACGCTACAAGTCCATATCATTATTCGTAGGGAAAGTAGTCCCGGAGAATTGACACTGTATGGAGTATGATCGAACCTAAGACGTAGACATAGGTAGTGACTGTTCCTTCGGCAAGCGCCCGAAATAATAAATGAAACTCACGGGTTTTTCTTAAAAGCCTTAAAAACCGTGTTCCTCTGTCACGTTAGGCATTAGTTAGATAAGGAATCCTCAATGCTCATGGCATGAGTGTCCAGTATAGGTCTAATTTTGATGCCCTTCGCCGGTATATGGTGAAGTCTCTTTATGAGTGAAAAATTCTGGAATGGGACGTAAAACAACTTACAATCAATCAGTCAACAGTATAAACTATTAAAACAGCCAGAAATAAACACACACATACACACGTTAAAAATTTTAAAATTGCCAAAACAGAGAATTTACAATGGTATGTTTTATAATAATTTTTCGGTGTATATAACAGAACTGTCGGCTCATCTTATATCATATGGCTTTAAACAACCATTATAAAGACCAAGAATATACAATAAAGTACATTGAAGTGGTATAATTTTCCGCTTGAAAGAAACGTTGTGGGCTTTGTTTTGAACGTTGCTTGTTACATAATGAAACGCCTATTTCTTCAGAAAGAAGAAAGAGGTTTATTGTAGGGGCGAGTGTGCGGAGAAACACCAGTCTGCACTGAGAGAGAGCCCTTGATTGTCGTAAATTTTCTCACATGTTTCATTCGAACAGGTATTCAATGAATACAATAACCAATCATACTGGCAGTCTACAAACACGTGTTTCATCCTTACACATGCTGTGATATGACAAATACATTACATGTTCGTTGCAATACGTAAGTTTTACAGAAGCAGGGAGTCTCTCACCCTCTCTCCCAACTTCATCATATCCTCATTTCAACGTAACTCGCTTTGCTAGTCTCAGAGAGTGGGTGTCTTAAAACAATTCGACGAATATTCCTTTCTCAATTCTAAAGAAATGGGAGTGTCATTATGTAACAATTAAGTTCGATAACAAAGACCCAAATGCTCCTGTCAAAAGTAAAACTCTACCACTTCAATGCGCATCATTACACATGTAACTGTATGAGAAAATGAATAGAAAATAAAGACGCAAGTGCAGTGGTTTCCTGACAATGTATTTCTATGATACAAGTTATGTTTCTTATATCAAAGACAGTAGAAATGTTGTACTATACAACTTAATTATTAAGGAAGCGTCATCCACAAAAGGGTCAAGTTAAGTACGTTTGTAATTACTCCTTTGTCTCTGAAATTCCACAAAAATGAGGATTTAGATTACACCTCTGCAATAAAATTAGGCACGCATGTCTTTTTTTTCCCAAAAAAATTGAGATCATTAATATAAAAAAAATTGGCATGACAATGCTTAGGAATTTTATATATTACAGTAATTCTAATGAAAACAGATACTGAGTGGACGACCATTTGATTCTTAAAATGCTGAAAATAAATACTGAGTATTCTGTCCTAGACTGGCAAGAACACAAATAAATTGTTCTTGCCTTGTGTTACTTCACCCACCCACCCACCCAAAAAAACACACACACACACGAAATAGACTTTCCGAGTTTGGCAATCTCCCTTTTTATTCATTGCTCGTCAGACTTTTTCAAGATAAGAAAATAAATAATCTGTCCCTGATGATCTAGGAAATAAGTTATCTGTTATGTTTGACTTTGATAAATCCAAAAAAAATTTGGAATGAAACTTTTACCTTTATATTATTTCTCTTTATCAATGTAAGAAGCAAAACGTTGTCCAAAATATTCTTAAAATATTTTAAAAGTAATAATAGCAAGTGAAATGTTATTAACATTATGAAGAATAATATTAATACAGCTTGATACCCGGGCATGTAGCAAAGTTTTTCAAAGTTGGAGGGGGTGGCAAAAAATAATTACGATACCTAAAAAAAATTGACAAGCAAAAAAAGGGAAAATTTTCTTAACTTTGAAAAAAAAAAAGCTTTATGGGGGGGTGTGCGTTTGGAAACATTAACATGGCCAGGGTATGACACCATATTGCATCAAAAGAGGTGGAGGGGGCAACTGGCCTTTCAATGAATATTTCCATGGTATATTAATAGCTAAAGATTACTTTTGAGGAAAGGGTAGGGGGTCTTCCTAATACTATATGCATAATACCTAGTCTATTTGGGATCAACATTCAACAAATTTAGTTTTGAAGGGGGGTTAATGGGATTCATGTGAATGTAGTTTTATTTGGGGGGTCATCCTCCCCCAAAAAGACAAATGCCGAAATTCAAGTTGCAAATATATTTCTTCCGAAACATGAATATTCTTTTCTTACTAATAAATCTTTGTTCTTTAAATATTCTTAGTATTATATATAATAATCTGTCCTTGTCTGGTGCTACACTTCCACACCAAATGGATTTTTTTTAGTTTGGCAATACTCTTTTTTTTTTTTGTTTTTTACTGTTCGTCAGACTTTTTAAGTGAAGAGGAATTAAATAATAAATAATCTGTCCCTGATGATTTTGGAAATAAATTATCTATCACTGACATGAAAATAAATAATCTAACTCAGAAAGATTTACCAGCCCCCCACCCCACCCCGGTCATTTCAAGGAGGAAGCTGAAATGTTCCAAAAAAAAATACACGAACAGATTGCAGTAGGTCACATACATGCGAGTTACATGCGGGGAACATTATTGCGCGCACGTCTCAAAGTAGTTTTCAGTATGGTGATATCGAAAAGGGTTTGAAACAATTAGGGTTAAACTAAAGTTTGAGTTCTTTTTATAGTTTAGTTTCATCTCCATCAAGTCTCGGCCCTTCGCGCGTCAAACTTGGATCTTATCAAATTTTGCATGAAGCAATTATTTGGGATCAAGTTTTCCATGAAAAGTACATTAAGAGAATGACTGGAGCTTTTTTCGGGAAATTTCAAAGGAAATAGATTTTTTGTTTGTTTGTATGTTGTTTAACGTCCCTCTCGAGAATTTTTCACTCATATGTAAGTGCCGAGTATAGTACAAAATTTGCAGCTCTCCACCGGCAAATGGTTGCGTCTCCATATGAGTGAAAAATTCTCGAGAGGGACGTTAAACAACATACAAACAAAACCAGCCATCATCGATGTTTACTTTATATCATTGCCAGAAGTAACGAGCGTCAGGGAGGTAAAAAGCTTTTTTATATAGTGCGGAATTATAGAATGAGAGCTAGCTAGCCAAAATTTTAGTCCAATCAACTCACTTTTTATGTTTTAAATCAAATTACCCGCCACCTCCTACACACACAATACCAACACAAAAACATAAACGAACTCCTCCGATCCCTAAACAACGGAACAAAAGTTACACACACACACACACACACACACACACACACACAATAACCTTATTAGGGATTAATTAAGGTAGAATTGTCGCCGATGAACTTCCCTGCTGGTTTGAAATAACTCCTTTAGTGCAACTTGAACCACCCGAAGCTGTGTATTTGCTTTCTTCATCTCCTATTCTGTGAATATTTCTTTTCCACAAGAGGGATTTTATGTAGTTTAAAATTCTTGAAGAACTAGAAAAACTTAGGAAAATAAAAAGACCTTGCAAAGATGTCAGAAATGTAACCACAAACGAAAAAACTGAAATCTGTGAAAAACTATCCAGCACCTGAAGTATCCATACTGTTCCAGTCAGACTGAATAGTTTGATTGAAATTAGGAGCTCCGATTTGTTCTCTTTAGATTTTCTGATGTTTTGAGCAAATTTGATATTAAGAAGAGTAAGAATAAACAAGACAGAATTAACTGTACATGTGACACTTAAAGGAACAACAAAAGTGGCGATGTTTTGTATGAGGTTTTCAACGAAACACAAGTATTTCCCATATCCAATGTTCCCTTGAAAAGCAAACGTGGAAATTATATTAGCACCAACAATTACAAAGGGAATAAAGTAACAAAAGAAAACGTAAAAAGTAAACATTGCTTTTATATTTTGGCCATTAATTGCATCCTGTCTGTACGAAGAAAAGGTCCTAAACATATGAAGAGAGCAGATAAAAAGGCAACAACATAGGGTTAGCCAGAAATAGTGCAAAATTACACCTGTTATCTGACAAAGCAAGGTTGACCTTCGTAAAACGTTTGCCACTGTGTAAGTTATTTGCATACAGAAAAGAGAAAAGGTTGTGTTCATAATATTCAAACCTGGAAGTGTGCGTAATTCGGGAACTAAAATGTAAAGCACAAACAAGAACAACAAAGATATGATACTGATAATGTTTAAAACAGTTGTTAAGGTCTCTAGTTTGTCGACATAGCCGTTATAGAAAGCTTTTTTGTAAGGCTGGTTGGAGTGGACACAAACATGATAATTGTTTTCGAAATCTAACACAAATTCGCCAATGTAAAAGTTTTCCTTTGTCTTCTTTACGGTGATATGGCCGTTCAAGAAGTTGATTTTAACTTCGCTCCCGCCAACCATTCGCTGACGACAAAAAAGTAAATCACTTACATAAACAAAATTAGATGGATATGAAGAACCTAGAAAATTATATATGACAGCGACAAGTGACGCATATGCATCGGGTAGTACATTTTCTTGTGATTTCAGAGCTTTGCTGATATTGGAAAATCTTACACCTTTTAAATCGATTGAAATGTGTTCATCTCCTTGTGATGTAACTTTCACATACAATTTGGACGGTAAAGCTAAAAGATATTTCTCTACCTTATCCCTTTCAAAATGTTTAATATAAGACAAGCGAAAAAACAAATTCACTTGCAGTGTATAATGAAAGTGACCACCTCTAAATGCTGTTACAATAGGAAGTTTTGGTAAAAAGTTAAACCCATTAAAATAAATTGCACTGGCAATAGAAAAATTTTGGTGTAAATATTTTTCAACAGAATTACCAACTAAATTAAAAATCTTGCTCGTATCATTGCTTCCCGCAGTGACTTTGAGTTGACATAAAATAAACAATGCATAAGTAATTCCTTTTGGATGATGTATAACTGGTACACACTTTTCTCCAACCAAAATCTTCCCAGGATAGCAGATGTTGTCCATTGTCTGTAATAAGATAATTATATGATTTTAGACAAAGGTTCAAATAAGATATTCTGATCATACGCCGGTCCAACATTTTTACCCAGGGTGGGGCGTGGGGGGGGGGGGGGGCACACCAATTCCAAAATAATCAGACTCTGAATATCTAATAAGAAAAAAGGAACGATAAATGTGACAACAAATACATGTACATGTGAATTTAAGAACTTGTCCAAACCCGAACCGATTTCTTTGGTTAGGAGAAGTCGCTTATATAGAAATATATATATATATATATATATATATATATATATATATATATATATATATATATATATATATATATATATATATTCAATAAAATCTTTTTTCCTTGGTATAGGAGGTAAAATAGAATTAGAAAAATTGTGCGTAAATATTATCGACAGAATAGGAATTGCTTGGTTTCTTCAAGATAAATTTAACCATAAACGAAATTGAAATACTTTGACCAATTTTTAATTGCTATTCTGTCAATATGAATATAATTAATGACTACATAGAACCCCCACAAATTATTTGTGGGGAAAAGTGGACACATAGATGTTTGAAAACCGAAATACAACTCAAATTAACAATCGTAAATATTGGAATTTTAGCCTCTTCGTAATATAAATGTTTTATTTACTAGTATTTTATTTAACATAATATATTACCTCAACTTTTCTTTCCAGGAGTTTCTCATTTATATGTCTCTTTGGAATGAATAATTCTCTCATCAGGGGTAACTGATATACTTTGTCTGATCCGTACATCGGCTTGCAGTGGGTTCTAGAATGGGTTGTATTTTTCCTCAGTGCTTTATTTTCACCACAATGCGAACAAAATTGGTTTCTGAACGGATGAACAAATGGATGATTTCCAACGTCTGGTAAAGTCAAGCAAGCGTTTTTGAATCTCACATCCAAGATATTTGAATGATTACATGTTTTTATATCACCATTTTTGTTTGAATTACACATTTGACAAAATTCGTTTTTGAACCTACCAATAGGCATAAACGAATGTGGACTTGGATTTTCACACATCCATTTTACAACCCGGGCTTTTTCAACTCTTGGACAGTTCCACCTTGATATTGAAGTTTTGAGATCACATAAGACCAATTTGGATGCGTCGTACAATACACGACACTTTTGAGTCTTCGCTTGTTGAAGGAGTTGATCGAAATTCATGGCATAGACGAAATTGAATTGCGATTTGCAAATAATGTTGAAGTCGACAACGTTATAGGGATTGTGGAAAAGATTGTGATCTTTAATCGTGTAGTTCGTATTACAAAGAAAACAAAAAATATTTCTGTAAGTTATATTTTTTGACAAGATTAGAATATCATAATTATTGGAATTTTCTTCGCACAGTCCTTTGATTCTTTTGTACTCATTGGTAGATTTCTGATTCATGTTATTTTCGTAGCACCTTGAGACAACAAGAATGCTTCCACCTCTTTGAGTTTTAGAGAATGGGGATACTCGGTCGATGCATTCCACTGGATGCAGCAATGCTGTGTCAATGCAACAATTGCATCTTCCAAGAAATAGGCAGGAATATGAGCAATCACATTGTCGTTCTGTAGTGAGATTTCGAACACTCTCTGATAACAGATCCTGTCTACAAAGACGGCGAGGGTTAATTGCTACAATTGTGTCCAAAAGCTGACCAAAGCTAACACTATTATTATTTTCCATATTTTTAAATGGAAAATGAATGTCATTCCTGTTAGAATCTCTTATCGTTTTAAGAATAGTATCACTACTAAAGGTTGTGTTGAAAAACTTTAAGAATTGTTCCTTCTTATCAGAAGTATAAAGTTCCCGTGCAATTGTTGAAAAGTCAGAAAAGTGATAACGTAAGAACTCTTTGCATTCACTACCATAGCATCGCCGAGAGCCAAAACCATCCAGGTTCCTTAGAGGAGTGTTACACTGGAAACAGTAGAAATTTTTATAGGGATACGTCATGGCTGAAATAGAACTTTGCTGACATTTTTGGACTGTTTTGTTGTTTTGTGAAGAACAGGAGCCTATGATGGGTCCAGGTCTCTTTAACTCTTTTAATTTGCACAAATAGCAGAATATATTTCTATAAAGTCTGAATTGATTGACATATGAAGATGAACAAGCAGTGTCTAAATCTTTATCATCCGGACAAGATTGAATGCGATACCTCTCTGGATTTAAAAATTTTGGATGGATAATTTCCTCCATACTAGTTGGCGGAGAATATACAACATTTGTTCTGTGAGCTTTAGACAAGAATTGTAGTTGTTGATAAGATTCAATGAAGTTGATGAAATTTAGTATAACTCCGTAATGATCTAGCGAAATGCCCCATGTTACTAAATTGAGTTCTTTTTCTCCATGACAATATGCGCAGAAAACATTTCGATAAGAATGATTACTAACAAGAGAGCTGACCGGAATATTAAAATCAAAATCATCAGAAGCATTTTCACATTTTTGCGATTCTTCTTCTGTAGAAAACTTAGGACATGTCGTGATTATCTCGTACTGTGGCTTGATAGTTAATTTTGATATTTTTTCTATATGGATGTGAGGAGTATCTAATATAGCCAATGATCTTTGAAAAAATTTATCAGGACAACAATTCAATTCTTGAAAGCAAGACTCTTCACACGAACATGGCTGACAACGAGAAAGTATCAAGTGAGGTTCATAATTTGTTATACCTGGCCAATCAAAGCACATGTCCCTCTCTCCGCAGGCTTCGATATAAATTGTCATCAGCCGGGAAATATTGAATCCAGAAGATTGACAAATGAAAAATAGACAGAAAGCAGCTGATTTGAACATTTTCCTTCAATATCTTTATTTCACGTTGAAATCTGTAATAATGAAGAACATGTTTTGTCACTTTGAATCTTAAAACAGTTTATAATTTCTATCATGAAAGTTATCATCAAATGAGACTCATATTACTGGTCGAAACAATGCAAATGTAAAAGTCAGTGGAGACAATCACTGAAAAATGATCCGATTTTTTTAAACGATGAGAAAAAAAAGACCGATGTCCTGGACTTTTGATTGTTTTTTCGTTGAAGCGGGTCACTTTGAGCTTAAAATGAGGAAGAACATAAATTGGATTTAAAAAGATACAAAATATGTGGAATTTTGGGTCAAGATTGAGCATATTATGTTTTCATTTCCTTTTTATTTTGTTTTCATTATGTGTTTGTTGCTATTTTGTGTCTCTCATTTATGTTATTGTATCGTTTATTTAACTTTCCTTTCATAACTGAACTATGCCGGTGTAAAGACGAATAATGACCCCATAGAATAATGACCGGGGGTCGTTTTTCGCCGTCGAAAAATGACCCCCGGTCATTATTCGATGGCGAAAAATGACCCTTTTGCCCTTAGAAAATGTGTCATCGCCCTAAAAATCTGCATACCCTACGTGAATAAAAATGACCCCTGTAGAATAATGACCCCTTGTGGATTAAAAGTTGAAATTTTTTTAGGGGGCAAAAAAAAATTAGATTAAGAGACCTATTGGCCAAAATGCTCACCTGAACTAAATTAAATCGAAAATACGTTGATCTCATTACATTATACAAGTTTGTTTTTCGATGGTGGAAAATCATCGTACTGACAGAAAACCCCCAGCAATAATTGTTTTATTATATGATTCAACGATTGAATTGATACAAACTGATTAAGCAGACATGTCAAGTTTCTTGTTAACATTTGCTCAAGTCCTAGTCAAACAGTGAGAGAATTGGAGTTAATATAAACATAACCAGTATATATTTTGCATTTGAAATCTATTTTGGTGCACTCAAGGAGAAGAGATTTTTTAACTTTAAATAAGAGGGGGTGGTTACAAGACTTTCAATGAACATTTTCAAGCTACACATTGCTAAAATTTACATTCGGAAAAAGTGGGGGTGGGGGACAATCCCTCCCCCTTCTCCGATTCTCTGTGCCTGAATATTATGTTCACTTGAGTGGAATTCGGTTGCAGGTGAAATAACTTTTCAGAATTGTTTTCAATCTATTTTCAGTTCAATGTAGGAAAAATAAATCCTTATGTTCACCTGGAAGGTCAATAAAATGGTCTGCCTTTAATGATGAATTGAAAACAATAATCTGCTTCAATTTACACGATATTGAAATGTTTTCATATTGATTTGACAAATGTATCACTGATTTAAAATAGATTTAAAAAACTATTCCTCTTGCTCTACGTATGAACAATTTCTAAGACGAGGTTAGTTATTGACAAACAAGTTGATGAAACAAGAATATCAGCAGTCTCGTTTAAAGTCGTCATTTCGCAAGTTCTATGGTCGATACAATGACCTTGTCAGCAAATACAATTTTTCATTAAGCCAAATGCTGACTGACGTTTTTTATACTAATTGTTAGGCCATT